GAAATCCCGATGGAAACGCAATTTGCTGCCACTATTCGCCATTCCTCCTAGGTATCAGTTCTTGAGGCAGTATCAGTTCTTGAGAAAGTGTTACGACCATTGTGATACATATTTGGAGGGTGATGCATATGATTTTTCTTGTCAGGATTCACCTTAATTAGGTTAATCTACGCAGTATCAGCTTTTTACTATAAATGGTAGTGTTTCCTGAAAACTGCCTTACATATTGGGACTGTGATGCATTCCTACATTCATTCGTATCGGGAAATGGTGTAATTTTTCTTGCCAGTGTTCACCATAGGTTCTGAATGCAACCGATAGACATATCTTGCGAAAAGTGTGATACATAGAGAATACATTTCTGCATTATTTCGTATTACCGAAACATCCATAGAAGCACATATCATCGAAACATTGATTCAACGTTGATTGAACTTCCGGACGTTGAACCAACGTTGAATCAATGTGTGCTACTGGAGATAGGGGTTCTCTTCCCAGAATTCGCCTTCAGTGATACCTAATCCATTAGGCATCGACTCATAGAATCATGAAATTTGATGCGACCGGTGAGATACATTATTGGGTGATGCATTATTGCATTCATTCGCATCTCGAAGTATGGTTTTTCTTGCCAGAGTTCTTCATCGTATGTAAGCAGTATCAGGATTTTACGATTGGTGGAAATGTATTGGGACCAGTATGATACATACTTGGAAAGTAATGCGTTACTGCATCCATTACCATCGCGAAAAATTGTTTTCGTACATATGCAAGCAGAAAGCATGAATGCAAGTAGAAACAGCTCTATACGATAGGTAGAAAATGTTCCCGGCCAGTATGACACATGGTTGGAAAGTTAGTTGTCCATTCCTGCATTCATTCGCATCGCGAAATCATGTTTTTTTTTTGGCAGAGTTCTTCATCGGTTCTTACCCAAGTAACAGTATGTTGATGAAACGTTTCCGAAATGTTGCAAATGTTGCTCTGTTTCAAGTTGATGAACATTGATCGTTTTTCACTTTACAGCACTTCTCAAGGAATTCTGCTGAGACACTTCTACGAATGTTATTGGAACATTTGCTATCAATATTGAGAACGTTGACACTCGACATTGACAACATTCTGATACAATATGGACTTGAAAGTTTTAGGGAATCGTCAAGGCATGGAGGACAACACCATGCCACGAGTAGAAGTAGGTCTTACTTTTATCACCGTACCCAAACGTGCTCTTCTCCCTTTCCCTGGAATCGTGCCTTAGGAATGTTCTCCTTGCCATACGTTTCGCCTAGTCTCATAGGAATCAATGAATACGGACACGTTATCCTCATTTCGAGACAGATTCATGGAGCACAGGTCAAAAAGAAACTCATATTCCCCAAAAGATCCCTTTCCAAGAACTTCGCGGATGCATTCTACAGGGAATATATATAAACAAAAGCAGAGAGCCGGTGAATTATTTCTATACTACATCATTTCCTCATCCTGAGAAAAGGTTGAGAAAAGGAAGGGCTGCATTCGCAGACCCTCAAAATAATTTTGTGAGTGAAATGTGCTATATTTAGCCCATTCAGGGGAAGAATACCTACTGAAGTGTACCATGTTTTCTGCCTATGCATGATACAGATTCTGTATTATGACATTTTATTTGGGTGATCCCGTGTTAGTCATGAAGTAAAAGGTTGTTGATGAACACGAAATGACTAACTCAAATCCGGATGGAATAAAATGTCCAATCCCCGACGTTTCGACATTTCCATGCCTTTCTCAAGGGGAAATAGGCTCATGAGGTACATTCTTAACCCTTAACGAAGAAATTGAAAGAAAATTTAGTGGGTTAAGTAAGAGATGTCCTTGTTTAGCCCCAATGTGTGGGTTCTCCATTTGATGATTCTCTTGAGTTCTTCCAGCCTTCTTTGTTTAGTATCCATGAGGTCTCCAGCAAAGATATCGACCATCATGTCATCAATGGAGTGAGATGCTTGACTGAAATGTTCCGCCACAGGTAGGTTGGAAATCCCCCGTCGAACACTACTCTTGTGGTGGTTGAAGCGGAGACGGAAAGATGTTTCCGTCTCCCCAATGTATCTTTTGTTGCATCGTTTGCAAGCTATGGAGTAGATGACGTGAGAAGAGTCACAATCATACTTCCCTGACGTGGATTGGAAGTGTCGGCACACCTTACATCTCGGTTTCTTGCATGGAGCTCCGCAGTTCCTTGGGGAGGTCGTTGATGGAGAAGGAAAAGACGCTCTGACTAGAAGAGCTTTCAAATTCGGAGGTTGTCGATAGGTGATCAGAGGAGGGTTTGGAAATATCAGCTTTTGATTCTGATCTTGCTGCAGGATATGGAAGTGGCGTGTTAAAATCTTGCCAACGAAAAGTAGAGAAGGGTGGAACGTCAAAACGCATGGTATGCGTTCCACATTATGGTCTTTATGTTGGAAGAGCTCTTCCCGAGAAAAGTTGTCAGCCTTCGAAAAAGCCCTCTGAATGACATGTAGGGGAAACCCTCGAGATTGAAGAGATCTAGATAAATTCCCCAAATGACCCAGGTATGTACTCCTTTCCTTATAGAGTTTCTTCAGCCTGAGTGCTTGGGCATATGGGATAGAGCTTCTCAGATGATGGGGATGGGAACTCTGATAGTGTAGAAGTGCCCCTGCGTCAGTAGGTTTTTTGAAAAGGTCAGTCGAGAGCCTGCCATTACGAATTTCTATGAGAATGTCTAAAAAAGGTATATTTCTCTGGGAGCTTTGAAAACAGAACTTGATAGTTGGATGGAAGGAGTTCGCCAAGTCTATGAAATCAGTCAAGGCTGGAGTACCAGTTGTCCAAATCAGGAACAGGTCATCGATGTACCTCTTGTATGTGAAGGGCAGTGAAGGAATGCTTGTCAAGAGGCGCTGCTCCAAATTGTGCATGAAAATTATGGCAAAAGATGGAGCCATACGGGTGCCCATGGCGGTGCCTTGAATTTGCAGGAAATGTTGCCCATTGAAGATAAAGTTGTTATGTGTGAGGATGAAACGCATGATATCCACAATAACGTCAACATCCTCAGAGCAGAATCGATGTGTTTCCAGGAAGTGTCGCGTGGCAAGGAGGCCCTCTTCAGTTGGGATATTGGTGTACAATGATGTCACATCAGCAGTCACAAGGATAGCATCATGGGGCAATGTGAGTGTATCTTGTAGTAGTTGGAGCATGTGAGTTGTGTCTTTCACAAAGCTTGGAATTGCGGGTAGAAGTGGTTTTAGTAGTTCATCCACGAAACCAGAAAGATGTTCCGTCAAAGTCCCAATGCCAGACACAATTGGACGTCCTGGAACAGGCCTACCTTTCTTATGTATCTTCGGTAGGAGATAGAATTGGCCTGGTTGAGGATGATTAGGGACAAGTTTTCGGAGGACGTGAAAGCGAGATGGAAAAGAATCGATCAAAGTAAGGAGTTCAGTCCTATAATAAGAAGAAGGATCAGTTTGGAGGGGTTGTAGTTGGCAGAATTGTTCAGTTGTCTCTGAGCTTCTTCCAAATATTCTTCCCTATCTAAGAGAACAACTGCTCCTCCCTTGTCAGCTGGTTTAATGACAATCTCCTTGTCATGCCCGAGTCCATCAAGAGCCTTCCTTTCTATTGTAGAGAGATTGCCAGTTTTTCTTCTCCGTGAAACCTTGCACAGGGCAGCATTCAATCCCTGTCTCACTAGAGTACCATATTGGTGAAGTTCCTCACTTATGCTGGGTGGATTCCACAGAGGATTGTGGGACTGGGAGAGTTTCTCCAGAGAAACCAGCTTCTCGTATCAGTCAAGGTGTAAGGAGTAAAAGACGTATGCAGATCTTGACCAAAGAAATGTTCCTTCAAAGCCAATCGGCGAAGGTCCTCCACGTCTGAAACTACTTGAACAACATTAGGGTTTTGAGAGGGACAAAAACTGAGACCCTTTCCCAGGACAGCCAGTTCAACTAAGGAAAGTAGTTTCTTGGAAAGGTTTACAACCGTCCGGTCTGTCGAAATTGTTCAATATTTTTCCCTTCTCAGCAGTTCGAGTTTCTGGAGTTTCTTAGGGAAAAATGTCTTCCACATCCTTTGAGTCTGAAGTTCGATCAATGGTAGCTCAATGGCAGCTCAATGGTAACTTGTTGTGTTTGAGGTAATGACATCAAAACCCCTTTGGTATAGCTAATGGATGTCGTAAGATTCCGTTGCTTAGAGTAGAGGATGTGAATGAGGTGATTTCGAAGTTTTTCAGAAGCAGAAGAATCCTTTTCACTCACAGGTGATGGAAACGTGTGAGCAAAGGGGATTTTGTAGTCGGAGGCCGCATGGTATCATCCTTTCCTTCTTGCAAGCAGTTAGGAACATCAAATGAGATTGTACCTGGATGAGCTTCTTGCTGGTCTTAAATAGTCGGGAGATCTCCGTGCGAAGTATGTTGCAAGTGGGTGATCCCGTGTTAGTCATGAAGTAAAAGGTTGTTAATGAGCACGAAATGACTAACTCAAATCCGGATGGAATAAAATGTTCAATCCCCGACGTTTCGACATTTCCATGCCTTTCTCAAGGGGCTCATGAGGTACATCCGGATTTGAGTTAGTCATTTCGTGCTCATTAACAACTTTTTACTTCATGACTAACACGGGATCACCCACTTGCAACATACTTCGCACGGAGATCTCCCGACTATTTAAGACCAGCAAGAAGCTCATCCAGGCGGAAGAAGGCTATAAAGGAAAAGAAAGCGAAGCTCTAGGCTAGATTTTTTACGCCTTTCGACCGGCTTCGTCAGGGGGTGCACGGCCGGCCTAGAGCATCAACAGCTGTTATAACCTGTTTCTGCGGTCAACCTAGCGTGCCATGAGTATTAGACCCTCACCAGGGACAATTTGGGCATCATCATCTCTGTACATGCTGAACGTCGTCTGTGGGCTGCTTGGCCTATAGCTTAGTTCCAGTAGCTTAGTCGCGAGACTTTTTGAGCCAATCATTAACAGACGATGGCGTGTGCCACTTCAGCTGGGTTTGTCCTTGGAATGGGTAGTACTTCCAAGTTCTATCTAATACTCCTGGCACGCTTTGTATTTGTATATGCTGGAGTGTTCTCGAAGCAGTTTGCAGCCATGGCTCCGATCGAACAAGAACTCTTCGCCCCATTGTCTACTTCGAGTTCCTCCAAGGACACTGCGAGAGCCGCCGCGGACAACATCTGTGCTGCATTCAAGGGCAACGTCGTCCACTATTCCACGGTGTCTTATATATATATTATTTACATTAAAACGTATCGCAATAATGTGGGGTTGCTCTTGCTAAACCACGCCATTGGTTCCGAATCCCTGCACCATTTACGATAGGTGGAAATTTCTTTAAACTAGTCTGATGTATGGTTGAATGCATTCCTGCATTCATTCATATTACGAAATAATATTGTTATTCTGGTCTAAATTCACCATCCTTAGTTGACCCACGCCGTTTCAACTTTTTACTGTGTAATTGTTTTACTACAAATGTTCTATATATCAGGTAACCACAAAAGTTTTTGCCGTTTATGTCATATTATACAGTATGATCGTTAAAAGATAGTAGTTAACTGCCTTCTTAAAAGAACCCATAGCTTAAACATTTGTTATATCTTATTGGCGCGTTAATATAATCTAATTTAGTAAAGCAAGAAAATATTTAAAAGGAGTCGTCGTATCTCATCAGATGTTGTTTACTCTGTGAGTTTAAACTTGGTAACACTGCTGCAGAAACCACTAGAAGAATATGTTTAGCATTTGGAGAGGATGCTGTAACGGAACGCACAGCAAGAAATTGGTTCCAAAAATTCAGAATCGGGGATGAATCGCTTGAAGATGCACCACGTAGCGGCCGTCCTGTGAACATCGACAATGAAGCTTTGAGATCTGCCATTGAAAAAGATAGCAGTCGAACATGCCAAGAACTTGCTTTGATGTTCAATGTTAATGATGAAACCATCGGAAGGCATCTGCACAAAATTGGCAAGACATACAAGTTGAGCAAATGGGTCCCACACGAATTGTCTCGTGCCAATAAACAACAACGTGTGTCAGCTTGTTTTGCCTTGCTCTCCCGCCACAATAAAGAGCCATTTCTTGATCGCTTGCTGACATGTGATGAACGGTGGGTCCAATATAAGAATCCTACAAGGAAACGATATTGACTGTCCACCACTGACCCTGCTTCACAAACTTCAAGGCCACCACTTCATCAACATAAGGTGCTTCTTTGTGTTTGGTGGACAGCTCGTGGAATTGTCCATTTTGAGCTGCTGCAGCGTGGCCAAACCATCACTGGTGAACTCTATTCACAGCAGCTTGAACGTGTTCATCAGGTATTGCAAGAGAAAGAAGCAGCTCTTGTTAATCGAAAAGGAGTACTGTTCGAGATAACGCCCGTCCACATACTGCTAAAGTTACCAGAGACACAATCAAGCGTCTTGCATGGGACTTTGTGTCATCCACCATATTCGCCTGATATCTCTCCCTCTGATTATCACTTGTTGATTATCACACCCCTTGACAATCATCTGCGTGGACAGGAGTTTAAAAAACGACAGGGCAGGACGCTGTAAAGGCTTTCTTCTCTTCCAAAAACAGGGACTTCTATAAGAAGGGTGTTTATAAGCTTGTTTCGAGATGGGAAAAGGTGATTGAATCAAATGGAAACTATTTCGCTGAATAAAATTGGTTTTTAATACGAATTTTGATATTTCTAACGAATATTAAAAACGGCAAAAACTTTTGTGGTTAGCTGATATTTGGACAGTGATGCGTTCCTGCATTCATTTGCATCGCGAAATCATATAGTTTTTCTTTCCAGAGTTCGTCATCTGTTCTTAATGCAAGCAATATTAGCTCCTTCGGATAGGTGGAATTTTCTTTCAACCACTGTGATGCATGGTTGGAGAGTTATCTAATCTCTCTGCATCCATTTCACGATGCGAATGGATGCAGTATAACTAATGATTTATGAAAATTTTTCATTTTCAGGTTTTAAAATGGCATATATCTGAGACTTCCTATTCTTCAGTTATGGCAGGTTTCGGAAAGGCAGTATGGCAGAAAATCGTCGAAATACTGAGTGAACGTGCATGCGCTGCGAAGCATGAATCCACATTGGAATTCATGAAATGTATGCATAAGCAATTAATTTTTAGATAGTGAATAACACCCATTTGGTGACATCCTGTAAAATTTTCGCTATGATCCCTCAGGAACGGAATTTCAAAGTAAAATTCAAATGTGGATTCGTGCCTCGTAATAGTAACAGTATGTAGTAATAGTAGCAATCCTTTTCACTCAGCATTTGATTAATTTCAACAAAATTTGCCATAACTCGAAAATGAAAAATTGAGGCCGCATGTGAACTCATAGGCGACGTTCCTTTAAATTTTGAAGCCAATCCTTTCTAAATATGGGTTTTATCTGAAAGTTTTGAGTAGCTTGTCCTTTTTTTGTCAACTTTATAGTTCCATTCCATGATACTTTCATTATACTTCCCTTCTTGCTTCTGCATTTATCTCCTACATTTCTGTCATTCAGCAGCACTTTTATTGCACTATTTTATTCACGTACACAACAAATCGATAAAGAGAAAGAAAACAATCACTGTGACTTGTGCCACGCGTGACTCATGTTATAAAAGTTGCACAAGCAATGGATATTGCACTGATGGAGTTCATGGTCCACGTCCTATATTGATTGACTCATGTATAGCTAGGAGGAACCACCAATTTGCTCCAGAAAGCAAAGAATGGTGACAATAAAAATGGCAATTTTCGTGACTCAAGTTGCACGTGAAAATGCATTCATCTTCAAGACGTCGCAGAAGATTCGTTTCCATAGGTAACTCAGATGGTTCCTCTGACAGAACGCATGTCACACCCCCCCAGATTTTCAGCTCTTGCCTACGTGACATCAAGAAATCATCGCAAGCAGAGTATGAAGAGTACTCTATTCTATTTCTCTACTCGATGAAGAGTAGAGAAATGACCATCTGGGATGCCTTAAATTAAATGTTGCGATGTTGCATGACATCGCAGCCAAGATGATCTAAACACTGAATTCTTTGAGGATGTACTCTCTAGTGGTGGTACATAGTTGAAGATTTATTTATTTTTAAATTAATTCGTATCGCAATAACATGGAGTTGTTCTTGCTAAACCATCCCTTTGCTTCCGAATGTCTGCAGTATTGGTTATTTAAGATAGGTGGAAATTTCTTTACAACCAGTGTGATACATGCTTTGAGGGTGATGCATTCCTGCATTCATTAGCATTGCGAAAACATGAGGTTTTTCTTGCCAGAGTTCGTAATCGGTTCTTTTTATTGGCTCCTTCCAATAAGTGGAAATTTCTTGTGGTACATGGTTGAAGATTCTTTTATTTATAAATTAATACTTTTCGCAAAAATGTGGGGTTTTTTCTTGCTAAACCTAGCCTTTGGTTCGAATGCCTGCAGTATTGGATATTTACGATAGGTGGAAATTTCTTTCAACCAGTGTGAGGCATGGTTGGAGAGTAATGTATTCCTGCATTCATTCGCATCGCAAAATAAGAGGACTATTTTTTTCGATATTACAGTGCAATTTTTTAACATAATCACAATTTAGCTGTATTCGTTTGTGCCAGCGAGTAACTAGATTTTTTAAAGTCTATTTTCCAATAACTTTTGTTGAGTACGTTCAATCCACTCATTTATCGCTGCTTTAACTTGAGATGGAGACTCAAAAATTATTCTTCATTTCCCCAGTCTGATGATAGTCGCTGGGAGCCAGGTCTGGAGAACTTGACTGCTGCCACATCCGCCCTGGATGCGGCAGCAATTCCCAGGACAGATCTGACACAACGGCCTGCTGCCTCGAATCGTTTTGCTTCAGTAATAATCGGGAATGGAACTTTCCTGGCCGTTTTTTCCCGAGAGCCACAGGCAGTGGTACCTTCAGCAAATCAGAGTTATATCATTTATTGTGGCACCTTGTAGATAATCGATCATGATTATTCCCTGGCAATTCCAAAACACAGTTATCATAACTTTACCAACTGATGGTCTTTGCTTTAAGCGGAGGGTCACCAGAAGGTCGCCGCCGTTCCATGGACTGAATTTTTGTTTGTGTATTAAAGTAAGGTATCTCATTTGTCGTGATGATTCCTTGCCAAAAACTTTCCCCATATTGTTCCTGTAGAGCCGACAGGTCGGAAGAAACCACACGATCGAGTCGCTCTACTGGCCCCAACAGCTCTGGTACCATGGGTACCGCACCCATCGTACCTTGCTCTCTCCGAGACGGTCCTGTAAAATTTCATGAACTGGATCTTTTATGCATACATTTGCTGCAATCTCGCGAATGGTGATTCGTCTTCCATCCATTCGTGATCTTCCATTAATATTTTCTCCACAGAAACGACATTTTCTTCGTTAACAGCAGTGTTTGATCGACCACTGCGGGGGTCATCTTCAAGACTCATTCTTCCATTCTTAAAGCGTTCGATCCGACGGTACTTTTAGATTCAGAAGATTCACCAAAAAGTTTTTAAACGTTCAATAATTTCAAACGTCCTTTCATGAAAAGAGAATGATAGCTCTTAGAGAATTTACCGTGTCTTCCATGACTGACAAAGTGGACCCTACGCGAACACTGACAACTTCCCTAGTAGCACATAACATTGAATCAACATTGATTCAACGTTGATTCACCGTCTGGATGTTGAATCAACGTTGAATCAATGTTGTTTCAATGTTATGTGCTACTAGGGTTCTTACTGATCTAGTGAATAATAATTTGCAGTCGTGTTTATGATAAACCTAAGCATGTGTGAACAACTTGTGTGAACGGTAGCTTTGATCAGCCGTTGCAGTGATAGAACAAAATTCCCAGAACTTTGTAAACACCCCTCTCAATTTTTTTTTTCTTGCCAATGCATGCCCCAGGTTCAGAATGAAAGCATTATCAGCTTTTTACGATAGGTGGAGATTTCTTTCAACTAGTTTGGACAGTCATGCGTTCCAGCATTCACTCACATTGCGAAATAATATTGTTATTCTGGTCTAAATTCACCATCGTTAGTTGACCCACGCCGTATCAACTTTTTTTAAACTATATATGTAATTGTTTTTTCTACAACTGTAATATATTTGTACAGTGATGCATTCCTGCATTCATTCGCATCGTTGAAGAAGATAGCATTTCTTGCCAATATTCGCCATCTTCGCTTGGTTGACAGCTTATTACGATATAAAATTTGAGGTGAGCAAGTGAGATATGGTTGGACTGTGATGCATTTCTGAATTCATTCGCATCGCGGAATAATACGGTTTTTCTAGTTGATCCACGCGGTATCAGGTTTTCCCTTTTGTTTCTACTTCATAAACAAGCAAGATGTCATTGCTTTTGCGTAGGTGACATTCGGGTGACTCAGCATGACACATGACATAAATAAGACTGCAGTTTATCTTAATGATGTTACCTGGGGTCGGACCTGCCAAGAACCATTCAAATGGTCCCATCAACGGACCAAGTATTCGACCCATGGGTTGCTATTTGGGATTTTTATGATCAAGTTACCTCACCTTTCACTTTCATTTTTGTCACGTTTTACTTTCATTATACTCAAAATCTCCTTCGATTGCAATTAAGTTTCTTCAAAAAGTTTATTTAACAAAAAGTTGATTTTAAAAAAAGTTTATTTAACAAAAAAAAAATTCTGCACGTTTCCAACAATGAGATTATTCATGTGTCTGTACTTTCAAGGCTCATGTAGTTTTCAATTTGACTTCTGGTTCCGTTCCTACAAAGAGAAAGTCAAATCTAATCATTTCTCATCGCATCTTGAGTCTTTCGAGGACATCGGTTCGATTGATATCACTGACAGTCGTTGTTTCGTAGTTCTGCCCATATTCGTATCCCTGGCTGAGATGATTTTTTGAAGGCCTATCCCTCAAAAGACAAAGGAGTCTTCCAAAAGAAGAATTTGACTTCGAAACCGAACTTCTCAAAATTTACCCCAGTGGCCCAAATGAAAATAGGCCGAAACAAATAATTTATGCGACCTGGCCTCATGCCTCGTCCAGTGGCGGATACAGAAATTTTTCATAGGGGGGGCGGTTCCCAAGTTCCTACCCCCCCCCCCCCACCCCCCCAGTCTACCATCATTCCTCTTCCTTTCACCTTTTTTATTTTTCATCTGGGGTAAGAACTTGAGTTTCTATTTCACTAGCTCCAATAAAATGTAATGCAGATGCTATTTTGAATAAATAAATCAAATGCCAACCTGGCCATAGGGGGGGCGGTCGCCCCCCCCCCCCCCCCCCCCCCCCCCCCCCCCCCCCCCCCCCCCCCCCCCCCCCCCCCC